GGGGGGGGGGGGGGTGCGTGAGCTGCGAACAGCGAGGCCACCGCTGGCCCCGCTCCTCTGCCTGCCCCTCGGTCGGCTGGCGGCATCCAACCTGCGACGAGGCAGTGCTGCAGGAGCCCGTGGCCCCGGCTGGCGGGGAGGGCGGCCCCGGGAAGGGAGAGCGCTCCTGCTGCATGAAGCAAGCCCCCCTAGCTGGGCGGGGGGGCGCTCAAAGCATGCGATGAGTAAGAGCAAGATGGACCCCGGGAAGAGCTGATGAGGGCCGGCGGTCCATCGTGTTGGGCCAAGCGCCCTCCTGCAGCCCTCAAGCCGGCATCTTGCTCCCTTCCCAGCCGGGTGCACTCGGGGACCCCCTGGGAGCAGGGTGGGAAAGAGCAAGCCCTGCTGGCTATTGCCCCACAGTGCTTGGCTTTCAGGGGTATACTGCCCCTGAACCTGGAGGCTCCATCTGGCTATCGTAACAAATGGCTGCATGGCTGTTCTGCCCCTGCACTCCTATGGCTCAGGTGGAGCACACCTGTGTGCAGCTGGGCCTGCGCTGGCCGCCATGGCGCAGGTACGGTGCCCATCTGCCCCCTAGATGCCAGTGCGGCACAGGGGCTCTCATCCCCACGTGGCCGTGAAGTCTGCTTGGCCGGTGCGGACCCTCTGCCTCACCCGCCTCCGGGGTCGTTTCGGGGAGGATAAAGCGGGGAGGAGGCGGCGCCCGCCAGCCCGGCCCCTCCAGTCCCCGCCGAGGCTCAGCCCGCCGCTCTGCCGCTCTGCGGGGATGACGCCTGCTCCCCTCCAGGTCTGTGCGGGGTGAATTTCTACGAGCCGGAGGGCTACATCGAGTCCACGGACTACCCGCCCCTGCCCCAGAGCGGCTTCCTGGAGTGCACCTTCAACGTGACCGTCTACACGGGCTACGGCGTGGAGCTGCAGGTGAGGGGGCGGGGCCTGCCCCCAGGTGGGCTGCTTGGGGCACGAGGGGGGGCACCCGGCTCTGGGCGAGGCCTCGGAAAGGCCGGGGGGGGGGACCAAGGAGGGCTCCCAGCGGAGGCAGCCGGGGCAGCGTCTGCAATCGATCCCACGGTCGCCCTTTATCACATCCCTCCAGCTTAAAGGATCAAAGAAAGCAGCGGGCGGGGAGGGGAGGGGAGGGGAGGGGAACCACTAAGCCGATCCCAGCGAAGGCTGGCATGATGCATTTGCCTTCACGAGGCGGGGGCCAAGGAGGGGGCGCATTCCCTCCCTCGCCCGGCAGCCCCCAGCAATCTGGCTCTGCAGACGCAAACGCTGAGGAGGAGGAACTGGCAAAGACGCCCGGCGGGTTTCTTTGGCTGGCTTTGCCAAGCTGCCTGCTTCAAAAACCAGAGCCGGTCTCCTGGGGGGGGGGGGGTGGCCTTGGGAAGGGCCGGGCCGGCCTCCCTCCCTCCAGCCGCAGAGGAGACCCCGGCCGGGAGGGGCGTCGGAGCACCTGCCCTCTTCTCATTATTCCCGAGGCCCTTCCGCAGCCAGTGCCGCACCAGAGGAGCAGAACTCGCCGGTTCCTTTAAGCATTTCTCCGCATTCAAGTACCCCGAAAAGAGGGACCAGCAGCTTGCAGAGGGACCTCGCGGGCCTCTGCACGGCGCACCGGGTGCCCTCGCCAGCGCTGCGGCCCAGGGACCCGTTTATGCGCAACGCTCGAGCGCGGGCCAGTTCGCCCCTGTGCCAGGAAGCGGTGGTGCCGCTGCTGGCCCAGATCAAGGTTGCCAGGCCAGGCTGCGAGGGGAAGGCGCTCTGCACGTGCTCATGGATCCCCCGTCTTCCTCGAGGGGTTTGGCAAGCTGCTCCAGAGCTGGCTGCGGCAGATTCCTTCAAGGGATTAAGAAAGAGAAGAAGGCCCATTTCTGGGCGCTCTGCTAAGCCCTTCAGGAGCAGCCCGAAGCATATTTCGAGAGGAAACGGGCCGAGCATGCTGGGAGCTGAAGGCCTTTTTCACCCCTAAACTGGCAGGGGGCTGGCCTTTTTGTTCCTCCCTGTTCTCAGATTGAACCGTTCCTGGAGCAGATTACCAAAAACCAACAAAAAAGCCTCCCACAGACATAAAAGCATGCAAGGCGTATGAAAAGCAAGGAGACGCCAATCCCCGGCCCACTCTTCTTCAGAAAAGAGAGGGAGGGTGCAAGTGGGCATCGGGGAGAGACCCCCATTCCACACGAGGAGGACCCCGGGCTTGAGCCCCAGCAACGGCTGGTCTTCTGGCCAGGGGAGCGGCTGCTGCCAGTCAGAGTCCGCCGAGCTGGGCCGGGCGGGCCTCCAGGCAGGCCAACGGACCACAGGCGAGCCCGGCCATTTGCAACATGCGCTGGCGCACTGACCGAGCCATGCTGCCCCCTGCTGGGAGGACAGGCTGATGGCACAAAGCCCCACAGGGCTGCTGCTTGAAGGTGCTCTGGGGGGGGATCCCAGCGCGATGAGGAGTCCCATGCAAAATCCCGGGATAACGTCGTGCCAGTGGGCAGGAGCAAATGCCACAGTGAGGCTCCGCACCGTCCGAAGAGGGCCTTCCTCCCGGCAGCCCTGCGTCTCCCACCCAGCAGCTTCCGTGGAGGACCAGCCAGGTCCAGCCCAGCCCAGGCCTGCATCGAGTCCATCGCCCCGGGTGCAGCCGCAGCTGCGGGACAGCTTGGTCCTTGTGCGGCAGCGGCAGGTCCCCAGATTAATGCTGCTTCCTCTCGCGCCCTGTTTCAGCCCAAACTGCTCCTTTTGATGCTTCTTAGCGGCCTCCTTCCTCTTCCTCCCTCACGCCTTCCGGGCCGGGGTCTTGAAAAGGATGCCCATCGGAGCAGCCAGCACACCTGCCGGGCCGAGCGCAGGGGGCTGCCCTGAGAGCAGCTGGGCTGGAGCAGCTGCCGCCCCCTGCTTGGGCCTGAGCAGGAGACGGGCCGGCCGGCCCGCCGTCTGCAGCCGCTCCGCACGAGGGCCCTGAATCCGCTGCAGCTCCACCTCTTGGCACTGCTGGTGTCCCATCCCTTCGCCCAGGCCTCTGCGTGCGCATGAGTGTGCGCGTGCATGCGTGAGGGAGGGAGGGAGGGAGGGAAGGAGAAGTTAAGCTGTTGCAGACAGGCAAACCACACCATGCAAGCCACAAATGCAGGCTCAAAATGCCCCCCATTGCAACCCCCCCCCCACTAAAAGCGCCGCCTTCAACACCCAGGAACATTTTCCTGCCAAATCTCTTGCTCCGCCGGCTTTGTCAGACCCCCGCATCTTTCAGGGGTGTCTTGCTAAGATGTCGCTACTGTGAGCAGCTCGAATCATCTTTTGCCCGGGTTGTGCTCCTTCACCATGCCCAACCTGGTGCCGCCACCCCCAGACAGATCACACACCAGCTCCCATCGTCCCCAGCCAAGACAGGCTGGGGCAAGCTGTTCTAGGAGCTAAAGCAAAGGTAAGCCCGGGGGTGCCTGCGCCCGAGGCCCACGGAGGCCCATGCAGGTGGGACGGGCCCCCCTCACTCGGCAGCGGTTTGGCGGGGCGGCTGTGCTCCCTGACAGACTCTTCTCTTCCTGGCACACAGGTGAAAAGTGTGAACCTGTCCGAAGGGGAAGTGCTTTCGATCCGTGGCGTGGACGGGGAGCGCCTGGTGGTCCTGGCCAATCACACCCTCTTGGTGGAGGGCCAGGTGATCCGCAGCCCCACCAACACCATCTCCGTGCTCTTCCGCACCTTCCAGGACGACGTGACCGGGACGTTCCAGCTGCACTACCAAGGTGGGTGCTGCCTCAGCCGGCGGCGGGGCGGCTCCTCTGGCCCAGCGAGGGAGCCGGCAGCTGCCGGGTGCTTGGGTGCCGAGTCAAGGGCCAGCCAGTTTGGGGGGGCGCCGCTGGGGGCCTCCCCCTCATGCCCCACTGGAGGGGCTGGGCGGAGTGCAGGTCCAGCCGGCAGCCAGGCTGCCCCGTGCTCATCGCCCTCCCGGCACATTGGGCTGCAGCCCCATCATTGTCTGGCCAGGGAGGTTCGAGGTCGGGCTCCCACCCATCCGGAGGGTGCCGGGATGGACGCCGCAGAGCAGCGGGGCAGGACCGTCCCACCTTGGCTGGCCAGCGCCATGGAGGGCCCGGCTGCGCCCTCTCCGCCTCCAGGCCCTCTTCCCCCTGCACCAGCGCCACCTCAGAGCTGGTGCAGGCGAAGGGGCGACAGCTCCCCGTCACGGCTGTGCGTCCTCGGTCCCAGGAGAGGCGGCTCGGGAGGCCAGGCGGCCGCTCCGGCTGTGTCCTTTGACGGGTGGCGGCACTGGCCACACAGAGCGGGTCTGAGCGGCAATGCCCGGCCCTGCACGCCTCCGGCTCTGCTCGGTGCTTTGGGCCTCTCCGCCCATGTGCCCTTCTGCCCCCTGCAGTCTTCATGCTGAGCTGCAGCTTCCCCCGGAGGCCGGACTTCGGGGAAGTCACCGTCATGGGCTTGCACTCCGGCGGCACAGCCCGCTTTCAGTGCCACCTGGGCTATGAACTCGAGGGCCCCGAAACCGTGACCTGCATCAACGCTTCGAAGCCGCACTGGAGCTGGCCGGCGCCCATCTGCTCAGGTGCGCGGGGCTGGGTGGGAGAGGGGCGGGCGCCTGCTGAAGGAGAGCTGCCGCGTGGTGCTCAACGCCAGCCGCCTCGGCCTTGCTCTCCGCAGCACCCTGCGGGGGAACCGTGCGGAACGCCACCCTCGGCCGCATCCTGGCCCCGACCCCCGGGAGGAATCGCACCGAGAGCACGTCCTGCGTGTGGACGGTCGGTGCGCCCGAAGGCCAGAAGCTCCACCTGCACTTCGAGAGGCTGCAGCTGCGGGACAGGCAGCGGTGAGTCCGGCCCCGCCTGCGCGGGCCCACCTCGCCCACGTTCCACCCCCCGCATCACGCCAAAACCAAGGCTGTCCGGCCTCAACTGAGGCCGCCTGGGATGCCATTCGGTTTAGAGCAGAAGCCCTAAAATACTGGAGGAAAAAGACATGATGCCTTTGAAAGTCCAGAGCAAAATAAAACCAGAATTTAAAAAATAGGAGAAAAGCGAGCAGCCGGGAGCCGCCAAAAAAGCAACGCACATTTAAAAACAAAGGCGAGTCGCTCAGAAGCCTGGGAAAATTCAGAGTTTCACCCAGTGGCGAAAAGGCCATGGTGCAAGCACCCAGCGAGGGTCCCTGGGCGGCGGCTGCAGATCTCGGGCGCCACCACTGAGGGGGCCCGCTCTGGAGCAGCCCCCTGCCCACGCTCCTCGGCAAGGGGGCCAGAGGGTCACCTCCAAGGGAGACCTTGGGGACAAGGGGGCACGTGACCAGAGGGCCCTGCACGGGCCTCCCGGGGAACCTGCGACGTGAGCGGCGGGGCAGGTCCCCCGGGAGACAGCCGGCCCCTTCGAGGACGGGGCCCCAGCCGTTCCCGATGACGGCCTCGCTCACCTGTCCACCTCCATGCGAGGAGACGCCCGTCCTGACCTGGCGCCGTCTCCTCCTGCTGCCACAGGATGGTCGTCTACGACGGAGAGACGAAACTCTCGGCGGTCCTCTACAGCTCCCAGCGGGGCGACGTGGTGCCCTTCGAGGGGGTGATCAGCGAGGGCCACGTCCTGCGCATCGACTATGTGGCGGACGGCCACGATTCGGGGGCGGCGTTCAACATCCGCTTCGAAGGTGAGGCCTGCTCCCCGCCCTGGGCATGCGCCGCCCGTTGGCCACCCTGCCCGCGGGGAGGTGGGCCACTTTGCCCCTGCAAATCAGGGCAATTAATCTTGGCACCGAGTGCTGCGACCCCAGCAGGGGCGGGAGAGATGGTGCGGGTCTCAGAGCGAGGGGGCGAGAGGCTGGGGAAGACCTGGCTAAAATGTGTGGAGCCCATGGTGGGGGGGAGGGGAGACCAAAACGGTGTGTGGGAGCCGAAATTCTGCACGGAGCAGCCAAAGTGAGGTGGGGAGAGGCACAAAGGGAGCCCGGACAAGGAGGACAAGGGGGAGGGCGCGCCCCCCAGCGCAGGCGTTCCCCCAGCACGGAGAGGCCGCTGCAGCGGGGCAGGGTCCGCCTTCTGCGGGCCTGGATTCCCCAGGACGGTAGATTTAATTTTTCAGAGAAGTGAAATAAATTGGCAGATGCAGAAAGAGGACAGGATGCAGGCAAGAGCTGTGAAGCAGGTCACAGCAGCCGCAGCTCATCTGGACGGCACCGAATGCGGAACGAGGCATCGCCGTTTGCTCGCCTCTTCTGCTCCTGGATCAAGAGTCAATTTGTCCCTCACTTTATTTCCCCTTGTTCACACAAAAGGCTTCCCAGACTGGGAGTTTGTCTCCAGCGGAACTGCAGCCGAAGCAATTGGCTCGCGTGGAATTCCACGGACGTGGCACAGCGCCCGAGGCCGAGAGAGGGAGCCAACCTGGTCTCCGGCCCCAGCGCTGGCCAACTGGGCCAGCTAAGGAGGGGGCTCCCCTGCAGGGAGGCGTTTGCCTTGATCAGTGACTGCCACACAAAGCCCAGCTTCCCGGGACCGACCGGGGCCGTTGTCTGGGCTCTTCCTGAGTTTGGTCGAACGGCTCGCCCTGGCTGGGACGCCTCTTTCGGGAACTCCCGCCACCCCGAGCCCCAGTTCTGCGTGTGGATAATCAGTGGGCGATTCTGAGTGTGCATGTGCGGCACCAGAGCACGCGCGTGTCCAGAGCGCCACGGCTGCCCTCCGACACGGCCCCGTCCGAGTCCCCAGGCGCTCGCGCAGCCCCACTGCCGCCGCCTGGGGCCCCTCCTTCCTGGCCCTGGGCCCCATCCGCCTGCCCGCCCGCCCTCCCTGGCTGGAGGCCCAGAGGCAGACCCACCCCCGCGCCTCTGTTTTTGGTGCTGTTACCGCTCAGCTCCCCTGATTAAAGGACAAGGGGGCCAACGCTCTGAGGGATGGATCCTGTCCATCTCCCTTAGCAGCAGAGTCCTGTTTTAATTAGGCCGGATGGGGGATGGATGGATCAGGCCGCCTCTCCAGGGAGATTTGGTCCCCCCCCCCAGCCTCAGAGGGCCGGTCCAGCCCTTCATGGCATGGTCTGGAGAGACGCAGGGAAGCGAGAAGGGGGCGCGTGGCTGCTGCTTCGGAGCAGCCTGGGGGCCGCAGGGGAACGGCTGGCAGAAGGTGCCCTGGCATGAGACACAGCCAGGCTGGCCGGCGCTGCGCTCCTCTCCTCCCTCCTCGCTCGCCGCGGGAGCTCATCCACTCTCGGGCCCTCCATTTCCCTCCTCCTCCTGGCCCAGGGCCAGGCCTCCCCCAAGGCGGCTCCTTCTCCAACGCTGCCTTGCTTCCCAGCCTCCTCGTCCTCCTCTCCTGCTCCACTTCCACGCCGGAAACAAATCTATGCCGGCGCAGCCCCTGGCTCAGGCATCCCGAGCGCCCCCCCCCCCCCGGCCCGCGCGTTGCAGCCTCTGCCCCACTTCCCCCGGTTCTGCGGGCTCCAAACCGCACGGGCCGCTGCCAGAGCCGGCTGGGCCAGCAGGGACCGGGGAAGGAGCCAGCCGGGGAGACCCCCTGCAGGACCCTGGAGAGCTCCCGGGGACAGCCGGGTGGCGGCAGGGCAGCCGAAGCCCCCACGTGCGCAGCCCCGCCTGCCGCAAGGCCCCACCGCCCAGACCTGCCGAACTGCAGCCAATGCCATGCAGGCTGGGGGTGATGGGAGCTGCAGTCCCATTCTTCTGAGCACAGCAGAAGGCTGGCCTCGTAGCTGGGAGGCTGAAGGCCGGGACCACCGGCGCTCTCTGGAGCGCTCGGTCATCCCTGGCCCTGGCCTGTCCAGGACCGAGGAGTCCAGCTATGGGCGAGCGGTTGGGGGGGGGGCGAGCGGGGTCACTCAGACGCGGGTGGGGCAGAGCGGGGCTGCCTGGAGCGCCGCCTGGAGCCGCTGTCCCTTCCCTCCAAGCCTTCGAGAAGGGCCACTGCTACGAGCCATACATCCAGAACGGCAACTTCACCACCTCCGACCCCACCTACAACCTGGGGGCGATCGTGGAGTTCACCTGCGACCCCGGCCACTCGCTGGAGCAAGGCCCGGCCACCATTGAGTGCATCAACATCAGGGACCCCTACTGGAACGACACGGAGCCCCTGTGCAGGGGTGAGGCAGGGGGCCGGGTGCGGGGGGAGAAGCAGTGTGGGCGCCCCTGGGCTTGGAGGCGCAGATTGGCCATTTCTGCAGGGGGCATTCGGGGTGAAAGCGGGCATTGCATGCCACTGCGCTCACGAGGGGGGGGCCTTTACTCGTGGGGTGACCCTGCTGGTGGGACTCGCCACGTGCGCTCTCCTGGGCGTGGCGACCGGCTTGCCGATCTCACAGCCTGCCCGGCCTGCCCGGCTCTGCCCCCCCCCCCCCCCCG